CGCTCTAATTAGAGTCAGTTTTGGGGTGCAGAGTTGCTCCCTGGGGTGAGGTTTCTCAAAGAAGGGATTGCCCGAGTGCCGTTTGCAACCACCTCTCTTCCAGGGCTAGGCTATAAAGTCTGAACAAGCAAGTTTCACTAAGCAGATCCCCAAATTTTGCCTCATTAACTTCTCCAACAAGAAACGAAGATGCAAGGCCGCCCGCCCCATAGACCGGCTGCTGCTTGGCAGAGGGGACGACAGTCCAACAGGAATTCTTCAGCAGGCCGGCCGCTCATCCAGTTGCGAGCCTGTTTTTCTATGGTTCGGCCTGTGTCCGGCATCACGCCTGGAGGGTGCCATTTTGAAGAGCGTGCTGCTCCGTCCCCACCAGCAACATGACCTGGCCTCGCACGATGCATGCCCGGTTGCTGGAGGGGGGTGAGGCGCTCTTCAAAATGGCGTCCTCCTTGCGGCATGACCTCGCCCGCACCGGGCTTGATCTCCTGTGTCTGGCAGAGACCTGTGCTTCCCCGCTCGGCTCTGCAGATGTTATTCAGAGTCAGCCCTCCAGAGCTTGGATTCTGCAACCTTTCAGTGCCTCAGTGTGCCGGGAATTCCCACAGCAAGGAAAAATGGAATGCAATCCCCTAGGGCACTGGGGCAACGAAAGCCCACGCCGGAGGTTTTACAGGCTGTGCAGCGGCCCTGGCAGGGCGGGTGGAGGTGGGGAGGAGGCACAGGCAGGCCACCGGCCTTTCAAAAAGGAAAGCGATTCCCACCGTGACAAATGGTTTAATTATTTCAGGGGCCGCTCCCGAATGGAAGAGCGTAAATGTGGAACGGGCCCCTGCGAGAGCAAAGGGCAACCCCCTGACAAAGCCGTCGCGGGAGAGAGACTGGAGGGTCAGGAAGATGATGCCTTGGGAGCTTTGAAGGGGGGGGTACGCCCCCCCCCCACTCCCCACGCTGATCTGGAGAGGGAGGTCGCATTATTGTTTCACCTGATTGGGCCTGAAACCCACAAGCCTGAAGACCTGGAAGGCCTCGGGGAAGAAGGGAGGGAGAGAGTTGCCAAGTTTGGTTGGACATATTCCTGGAGGTTTCATCACATGACATCATCTTTCATTAAAGATTAATTTTTAATTCTTGGAGCCTCCCGGGCAATCCTGGAGGGTTGGCCACCGCAGCAGGGCCTCGGCGCTTTGGAATCCAAACCCAGACCCAGCTGTGGCCGCTGCAGCTGGCCTCTGAACAGGACAAAGCGAAAGCCCAGCGCTGAGCACCCCAGCAGCACTGGGGAGAGGACAGGAGAATCCTGCCCCAGTCCCTACACTGATGGCCCCATTTGGAGGCACTCCGGTTTCCAAGAAGTCTCAGCTCCTGTGTGACATGGGCTTGGAAAAATCCCCCTTAAACTCAAACCGCTGCTCAGAGCAGCTATGGGGGCTGTCCCCAAATTCTCCGCACCCAGCTGATTCACTAAGATACGTCAGGCACTCTAGACACATGGCACAAACTTTACAGAATTCACAGCCAGACGGAGGATCTCTGTCCAAAAAGCAGAGAGTATCCCCAAATTTAGAATTCCCCCCCTCCTCAATCCATAGGATTTGCCATCACTTAGCTCTTTGCCTCAAGATACTGAGGCTTTGAAGGACCTGGTTCAATATCCAAGATACGGGCGTTACATTCCCCTTCATCACAGGCACCACCAGAGTGAGCGTGAGGCCTCAGTGCTCTGTTTTATACCCCTGCAGGGGCTCCCATCATGCCCTGCTCTTAAAGAGGTACTCACACCTGCCAAATTCTGCCTTAGAGTACACTGATCCAACATGCAGAAGGGCAGAAGAAAGGCCTGGATCCTCCCCGGGTGTAAATCGGCCTTGCTCCATCCACAGCAGCGGAGGATCTGGCCCACTGCCAGCCAATGGGGCAAAGAAAGACCGGCAGCATTCCAGGGAGCCCGATCTGCTAGGGGGTCAGGGCTGGCGCCGCAGCCTCCGTCAGACGCGGACAGTGGCGGGGTGAGGCGATTCTCCAGCCGGATGCCGTAGTCCGATTCGAGAGGCCAAGCTGAGTCCAGCAAGCTAATAAAAGAAGAGGAACAACCAGGGAGGATCGAATCAGATCCTCCACGGACACGCAGCCTGGCCGGGAAGCGAGCAGGAATCTATTGGTCTCAGGCTAACAATGCCGCATTTGTGTCTTTTCCCCGGGCGGTTGGCAGGGCTGGTATTAGCTGGGGCTTTTCGGCACCCTCTGGGCCCCTGCGTGGTCTTTGATTGTTGTTACACTTCGCGCCGGCCTAGCTGGAAGAGCTTGTGTTGTAATTAGAATCAAAGGAAGCGATTTTACAGCCGGGGGTCCTGGCCGTGCCCGTTCCAGGAATCGGGGAGTAAATGGGGCAGGGGGAAGGGGAAAGAAAGAGATTGAAGGAGCCTCCTACCCCACCGCCCCCTCAGGACATTTCAAAGCAGGCTGGGAAACGGCTCTAGAACAGGGCACTGGGCAAAGGGATTGTTATTACTGGGGTTCCACCAGTGCCCCTCCTGAGAGCAGGACCCCGGCGTGCTAGGGGCTGTACAAAGTCCAGTCCCCAAATAGCTCCTGGGCTCCAGCAGGAAACCCACAAAGAAAGGATTATATTATCCCCATCTCTCACATGCGGAACTGATTAAGTGACTCACATGGGCAGCGTGTGGCCCTAGGTCACAAGGCCCCCCTTCCTCTCAGAAGAGGATGGCAAATGGAGATGGGGGGGGGGGAAGGAACCCCCCCCGACACTTGCTTGTCCCACACAACTGAGCACAGGACTGCCTGCTGCAACATGTTCGCAGGTGCATCGTCCCATCTAGATCTAAAGTGCCCAAGCTTCGGTGCTGTCATCGCATCTTGTTCTCCTCCGCCTCCTCCAGCCCACGCTTTCCCTTCCTTTAATGCCACCCCATTACTTCGAGCAGGAGCCGCTGGCCCTGCAGTAGCATCAAACTCTGCATCATCACAGGAGCAACCATTCCACTTCACACCTGAGTTGGGCCTGAATCCAGAGCAGGGGATCCAAACTCACTCAGGCTTTGGAACCTCTGAGCCCTTGGGAGTCGCCAGCCCATTCTGACCTATCTACTTCCACAAGACTCCAGGCTTTGTTCAGCTTGATATATGGAAATACACCTATCTCATAGAACTGGAAGGGACTCTGAAAGGTCATTGAGTCCAGCCCCCTGCCTTCACTAGCAGGACCAAGTTCTGATTTTTGCCCCAGATCCCTAAATGGCCCCCTCAAGGATTGAACTCACAACCTTAGGTTTAGCAGGCCAATGCTCAAACCACTGAGCTATTCCTCCCCCACTTGGCGCCTTTTACACCACCCCACTAGCAGCAACTTATCCCCATACGTGATGCTGCCAGGACTGTGGAAAGAGGAATCAAGGCTCTCGCGGAGCTGGTGATTTTCACCCCCAGCGATTTCCAGGAACGACCAGGACAAGGCATACGTTCATCAACCGTTTATTAGAGAGAGTTGGGTCGGAAGGACATTGTGTTCCAGGCAAGCTGCAATGCTGCGCAGACCCGCAGGAGACGGGCTTGTTCACGGTTTCCTTCTTAATAAAATATTAACAAATAAATACTCAGAAAAAGTTGCAACTACTGAGAGAGGGGAGAGAAAGCACAGGGCCCTACACGGGAAGAGGAACGCAGCTCAACTAGGTTACAGCTTCTTCCTACGGGAATATGAAAAAATATTCTGTATAAAATAAAAATGCCAGGTTGTTGTTTGTTTTTTTTAAAAAGCACTTTCCACTTTTCACCTTGAAACTCTTGTTGTCCAGAGGGATGCGATGGGGGAGGGGGAAGGTGTCTCGGAGGGGGGTGAATTACCCCTGTGCGCAAGCCTATGCAGTAAGTCACATGCAAGGTGGCAAAATGTTGACTTTACGGAGCCCAGCCCTCCAAGGGACCACTTATATGAACCAAGTCAATGAAGAACAAGTCCCTTCCCATTCCGATACCTTCAATGCACCGGGAATCACACAGTTGGTCTGCAGGACAAGAAGAAAGCAACAACGGCGGCGCTTGAAGCGGAGGGGGTCTCCAGGGGGCGTAAACCCGGCCCAAAATCGTTTTGTAATGGAGCAGGGTCACGGAAGGAGTGCACTTTAAGCACTGTCTTACCAAAGCTGCTGCTCTCAGGTTGTGATAGACCCCCCGGCCCACATACACTTTTTTCAGGCCTCCTTAAGCTCCTGGTGCATTGTACCACCCTGTAATTTACACGTCGTACGGACAGGACTGTCATTTGGAGAGGCTCGATTTTATGAACTTTTCAATTTTATGGACTCCTCTGTCTCAAATTAGTTCATCAATTAGGGATTCCACTGTAACACGGGGGGAAAAATTTAAATGAACGATTTTTCACTCAAATTGCCCATGAAAAAGGCCATTTCTTGACCACAACCAAAAAAAAAAACCCCAACCCTTCTTGTGCCCAAAGCAGAGGCAAGCTAAAATCACTGCCCCCCGGTGTAATGTACCTCTGAAGACAAGGCCGGCTCAAAGGCAATGCACCAATTCACTCCCTGACGCTCCGTTTTGAATGGTGTTTTGGTGATGCATATAAACCACAAAAAGCAACAGAGGGTCCTGTGGCACCTTTGAGACTAACAGAAGTATTGAGAGCATAAGCTTTCGTGGGTAAGAACCTCACTTCTTCAGATGACTAACACAGCTACCCCTCTGATACTTGACACCACGCAAGGCACTGCATTTAGCCGTATGGAATGGAAATCTATTTTGGCATCTGAAGAAGTGAGGTTCTTACCCACGAAAGCTTATGCTCCCAATACTTCTGTTAGTCTTAAAGGTGCCACAGGACCCTCTGTTGCTTTTTACAGATTCAGACTAACATGGCGACCCCTCTGATAAACCACAAGAGATCCCTGAACTGTGCCCATCGGGCCATTCCCCATCCGCCATGGGTAAGGGCTTTTCAATGCAATGGAAATGTTTGTGAAAAAAAATTGTTCAAACATTTGAGGTTTTATTGAAAAAATGATTCTTTTTTTTAATGAAAACCTGAAATGTTGTGTTTGTTGATATTTTTCACATGGAAGAAAAAAAAAAACATCCCATGCAGCTCCTGGTATTGATCACCCTAATCTGGTCAAGTGTGGGAACTGAACCCAGGACTGGGATACCTGAGCCTTTGGGGTGGGCTTTTCCTATTACGGGAGGACAAAGCATTGTGCGGCATCAGGGTGGTTACACATAGGCTTTGCGCACAGGGGTAAATTCCATCCAGAGAGAGGGCAAATAAAGGGGTAGGGATGAGAATCAGCGCTCCATCTGCCCACAGTTCAAGTACAACCCAGGTGCCTTTGGGTTCTGCCGTATAAGTAGCTTCAGCCCCACTCTAGAAGGGAATCTGATCTCCTCAGTGCACTGCTGCTAAGCTGTTTGTCCCACGGGAACAAAGATCTTGTCTACGCAGGAAAGTTGCACCAGTTGAACTGAAATCGGTTTTAAAACCAGTTCACTTTAACCAGGGCAAACCCCTGCGTGTGGATGCTCTTATTCCGGTTTAAAAGCATGCACTAATGGGTTTGTGCCGGTTTAAATTCACGCCTCTAGTTAAACCAGTACAACTGTCAGTGGGCCTCCCTGGCCGATGTGGAGCTGGGGTAAGGGCTCTCCACCAGCCCTGCTCCCAGAAAAGAGGAAATTGGGGGCGTTGCCAGCGTGCAGTGCACTACAGGTACTCCCTACATTCGGGAGGCCATGGGGGCAGAGGACAATGAAGACTAATGTACACCGTGGGCTGGGCACAGCACCAGAATACGCAGAGGGCAAAGCCACCTTAACCCATTCCCCCACATCCTGGCTCCACGTGCAGGAATGGAATAACCCAGAATCAGGCCTTGGGGAGACAGCACCTGGAAATGCAGATGTGTCTCAGAACTGCCAAGCATTTCAGCAGCTGGTGGCTAAATCAGTGCGGAGTGGCCCTCATTGTCTTAACCCGGCTCATACTCCAGGGGCACAAAAATCGGCCGGAAGTGGCAAAGCAGAACCCTCAGCCCATTAAGTCCTGGGCTGCTAATTCACATCCCGATTCCCGCGACTTCAAGGCACCGCCAGGTTTGCTCAGGACATGGGCCTGATCCAAAGCCCACCGAGGCTGATGGAAAGCGGGGTTTGGCTCAGGGTCATCTCCAAGGTGAGCATTCTCCAGGGCCCACCGTGAACTGGCTGAGAGAGGGCCCCTTCCCCATCCTGGCGCAAATCAGGCAAACCCCCTATGGCTGGGAGTGACAGCTTCGTTAGCGTCACCTCTAGCCAAGGTGGGGGTGGATACATGGTGACCCTCTGTGTCACCCACTTGGACGAGGGGCTGGGAGGAGTTCACATTGCTCTGTGGGCTGCATGGGCAAAGAGAGGCTGTGGGAGGAGCGGGCGGAGAGGGGAGGAGACTGGCTGATAGTGGAATATGAAGTGGAGCGGTGCCGCTGGCCTGCATCATGTAAACGGGATACTCTGGAGTCCGGCGGAGTGGTTACTGAAGGTCGGCGGAGAGGCTGCAATTGGCAAGCGGGAAGGGGGCGGTGCCAGGAGTACCCTCCGCTGCTCAGCGGGGCGTCTCACTCCCTGACGTAGATCCGCGTGCAGACCACGTCGTCGGCTGTCATGGTCTGGAACAGCAAGAGGGGAAATGAACAAAGGGAGCAGACCCCAGAGACGACTGCTCAGGGCTCGGTCACTGAGGGTACGTCTACACTGCAATGTAAGCCCCTTCCCCCAGCACACACACCCTGCACCTCGGGCAGCCATTTGCACCCGTGCCGGCTGGGGGGTGCGGGTGTAAACCACTGCACAAGGTGCAAGGCACTGGAGTCAGGCCCTGCCCCTCTTCCAAAGTCCTGTCCCAGCCTGCACTGGGCTCAACGTGACCCCCTGGGATGGAATCTCTGGGCGGGGAGTTGTTGGAAAGCCCTGGCCAGTTCAGCACACTGGTTGTTTGCAGTGTAGGGAGGATCCTCTCCCAGTACAACCAGTTGGGGTTGGGCCTCCTTCTTCCCAGAATGCATTGCTTCAGGCCATGCAGGTGCCCTGGGCATGCTCTCCTGAGGCACTATGGGAGCTGTCCCAGAATGCACCAGTCAGGCAGCCGACCCACAAACACAGGTGACCCAGATGGCCACCGCTCAGAGGAGAGCGTCACAAGCTGGTTACAAAACACTGTTGCAGCTGTAGTGTAGACAGGGGCATTCACTCCCCGGGCAACTCTTGCATTCGCAGCTGGCGCTTAACCACCCTGTGCCAGAAAGCAAAGGGGGTTCACAGCAACGGGTGGGGGGGGCGTTTAACCCTTTGCCTGCAGAGGCCAGCCTACCAGAATGAGTTCTCCATCGTTGGTCATTTCCCGGGACCAGCCGGTCTTGGGCCCTTCCCCCTTCAGCAACCTTTGTTCGCAGACCATTTTGTTCTCACTTTCCCATTTGGCCAGGCTCTGGAAGGAAGAAAGGAAGGAGAAGATCAATGCAACCGCATTTTAAATCACAAAGCCCCCGCCATGCCCCTACTAGCCCAGCGGCAGACAAGGCTCATCCATCACGCACTAGACAGGCCCAGCCCTCGACAAGAGAGAAGCTGGCAATTTGATCCACACTCTAGTGCAGCCTGACAGTTGTGTGGGCTCATCCGTCACCCGGAGGGGCGCTGGGGGGCGGGATGGGATGGGATGGCGAGGAAGAAAGGAGCCCTCGCCCCTTCAGGGGGAGGGAACGGGCTGCTAGCTGCAGAGGCAGGAGTGCGTGTGTGTGTCACAGCGAGCGACTGCAATCCAGTGGGTGTGTGTCACACCTAGTGAGTCGGAGTCCAGATGTGTGTGTCTGTCTGTGTGACGCTTAGTCCGTGTGGGGGGGGGTCACACCAAGTGACTGCAATCCAGATTGTGTCTATGTGTGTGTGTCACACATTGTGAGTCAGAGTCCAGATATGGGTGTGTGTCTGACCCTTGGTGTGTGTGTGTGTGTGTGTGTGTGTGTGTGTGTGTGTGTGTGTGTGTGTGTCGCAG